CGCGCCGATTTTCAGCATTCTTGGGCAAAACAGGCTCGGGACGTCCAGGATGGCCAGGCTCAAGCGATGTCGGTCGCGCACCCGTGCGTGTTTACAGCCATGACTGTTTTGCTAGGTGGAAGGGGGTATGGGGATCACGATCGAGCACAAGAACCCCCGACTGGTTCGCAATCTTCCACACATGCGCGCGGATTTTCAGCGCGCTGGGGCAAAACTGGTTTCGGACGTCCATGATAGCCCGGCTCAAGCGATGTGGGTCGTGCATCAGTGCGCCTTTGCAGCCGCGAATGTTTTCCCAGGTGGGAGGGGGTATGGGGAGCATGATCCAGCGCAAGATCCCCCAACTGCTTCTCAATCTTCCACACATGCGCGCGGATTTTCAGCGTGCTGGGGAAAAACTGGCTTAGGACGTCCAGGATGGCCCGGCTCAAGCGATGTCGGTCGCGCATCTGTGCGCCTTTGCAGCCGCGACTGTTTTGCCACGTGGGAGGGGGTTTGGGGAGCACGATCGAGCGCAAGAACCCCCAACTGCTTTGCAATCTTCCACACATGCGCGCGGATTTTCAGCGTGCTGGGGCAAAACTGGCTTAGGACGTCCAGGATGGCCCGGCTCAAGCGATGTCGGTCACGCATCTGTGCGCCTTTGCAGCCAGGACTGTTTTGCCAGGTGGGAGGGGGTATGGGGAGCACGATCGAGTGCAAGAACCTCTGACTGCTTCGCAATCTTCCACACATGCGCGCCGATTTTCAGCATGCTTGGGCAAAACTGGCTCGGGACGTCCAGGATGGCCAGGCTCAAGCGATGTGGGTCGCGCATCTGTGCGCCTTTGCAGCCGCGAATGCTTTCCCATGTGGGAAGGGGGTATGAGGAGCATGATCCAGCGCAAGAACCCCCAACTGCTTCTCAATCTTCCACACATGTGCGCGGATTTTCAGCGTGCTGGGGCAAAACTGGCTTAGGACGTCCAGGATGGCGCGGCTCAAGCGATGTCGGTCGCGCATCTGTGCGCCTTTGCAGCTGCGACTGTTTTGCCACGTGGGAAGGGGGTCCGGGGAGCACGATCGAGCGCAAGAACCCCCAACTGCTTCGCAATCTTCCACACATGCGCGCGGATTTTTAGCGTGCTGGAGCAAAACTGCCTTAGGACGTCCAGGATGGCCCGGCTCAAGCGATGTCGGTCGCGCATCTGTGTGCCTTTGCAGCCGGGACTATTTTGACACGTGGGACGGGGTCTGGGGCGCACGATCGAGTGAAAAAACCCCCAACTGCTTCGCAATCTTCCACACATGCGCGCGGATTTTCAGCGTGCTGGGGCAAAACTGGCTTAGGACGTCCAGGATGGCCCGGCTCAAGCGATGTCGGTCGCGCATCTGTGCGCCTTTGCAGCCGCGACTGTTTTGCCACGTGGGAGGGGGTCTGGGGACTACGATCAAGCAGAAGAACCCCCGACCGCTTCGGAATCTTTCACTTATGCGCGCGGATTTTCAGCGTGCTGGGGCAAAACTAGCTTAGGTCGCCCGGGTTGGCCCGGCTCAAGCGATGTTCGTCGCACATCTGTGCGCCTTTGCAGCCGCGACTGTTTTGCCACGTGGGAGGGGGACTGTGGAGCACGATCAAGCGCAAGAACCCTCGCAATCTTCCACACATGCGCGCGGATTTTCAGCGTGCTGGGGCAAAACCGGCTTAGGACGCCCGGGATGGCCCGGCTCAAGCGATGTCGGTCGCGCATTTGTGCGCCTTTGCAGCCAAGACTGTTTTGCCAGGTGGGAGGGGGTATGGGGAGCACGATTGAGTGCAAGAACCCTTGACTGCTTCGCAATCTTCCACATATGCGCACAGATTTTCAGCATGCTTGAGCAAATATGGCTCGGGACGTCCAGGATGGCCAGGCTCAAGCGATGTCGGTCGCGCACCTGTGCCTATTTACAGCCGTGACTATTTTGCTAGGTGGAAGGGGGTATGGGGTGAGAAGAAACGAGGAATGAGAATGACTAAGGGAAAGTTGGGTACAAAATGCAAACCCTAGAAAACTGTACCCCATATGTGCTACCCCACTATAGCCTACAGTAGCTCTGTCATATAAATCTGACACACCCCCATAGGCAAAGTGGGGGAGAACAAGGGGTCACAAGACCAGTCAAGCAAAGCAAAGCAAGCTCAGGGTGGATCACTAAGTCACCACACATTCCGAGCACAAGTTCAAGGCCACAAGGCCAGTTCACATGCCAGATTACATATATATATAAGGCTAGACAAGCAAGAGCAGGTGTATATATATATATGCAACAGTACAAACAAGGTCAAGGGGTGAGCAAGTGAGGCAAGGTAGGCACAAGGCCCAGCTGAGTACAGAAACGCTGATGATCACAAGGCGCAAGTGCCTTGGTGAAGATATCAGCAGTGTTGGCCTGAGAGGCCACGTACGCAAGCCGCAGCTGACCACGCTGCTGTAGCTCACGAGCAAGGAAGTAGCGGAGAGCAATGTGCTTCGTTCTGTGCTCCAGTCTCTGCTCTCGACACAAGGCCAGCATGGCCTTGTTGTCTACGTACAGCACTGGAGGAGAACGAGGCGGATCTCCAAGGTCAGTCAGCAGGTAGGTGAGCCAGCGAAGCTCCTGTGCAGCCATGGCCCCGGCGTAGATCTCAGCCTCACAACTGGAGCCGAGAACAGAAGACGAGCGGGTAGCCCGCCACGAAACAGAGCCGGAACCAAGGCTGAAGGTGTAACCCTGTGACGACCGCTGCGTAGCCTGGTCGTCAGCCCAAGAAGCGTCTGCGTGCCCAGTGAGGACCACTGGACTCTGCCCTCCAAGCACAAGCCCCATGCCCGACGTACTGCACAAGTAGCGCAACACCCTCTTCGCTGCAGCCATGTGCTCCGGTCTGTGTCTCCCAGGAGCAACATAGCGTGCGAGAATGCTAAGAGGGTATGCAAGGTCAGGTCGTGTGCAGGTCATCAGGTACATGAGGCAGCCAACAAGCTCTGGGTACGGGCCACTCGACTCTACGGACTCATCCGAAGGCAGAGCTGAGAGCGAGTGGCGAGTAGGCAGAGGAGTGGCCTGAGGCGAGGAGTACGTGAAGCCGAAGCGCTGAAGGACCTGCTGCACCATGTGTGACTGAGTCAGGGTAATGGTGCGGCGTGCTCTGTCCCGGGTGATCTGCAAGCCAAGGTAGCTGCGCAGTTCACCCAGGTCTGTGCACGTGTGTCTCTTCTGCAGCTCGGACTTCACGTGGGCGAGTCCAGCAGTGTCAGCTGTGGCAAAGACCAAGTCGTCGACGTACACGACGATGTAGAACGGCGGCAAAGAAGTGTCGGTGCGCAGAAACAGCGACGGGTCGGCAGTAGAGGGAGCAAACCCAAGAGCCGCAAGTGTAGTCCTCAGTGTGTCGTGCCACTCACGCGATGCCTGGCGGAGACCGTAGACTGGCCGCCGGAGGCTCCACTGGGTGCCAGGAGGAAAAGACCCAGTGAAGCCAGGTGGGCGACGCAGCCAGATCTCCTCGTGCAGGCTGCCCTGCAAGAAAGCAGTGCTGAAGTCAAGAGAGTGCAGCTCGTAGTCGCGGTGAGCAGCTATGTGCAGCAGTACCCGAAGAGTGGTCATCTTCGGGGTGGGAGAGAAGGTCTGAAAGTAGTCAACTCCCTGCCGCTGACTGAAGCCACGAGCCACGTAACGCGCCTTGAAGACAGGCGGAGAACCCGGCGGCCGCTTCACCCTGAAAATCCACATGCCACTGACGATGTTCGCCCCAGGCGGGGGAACCTCGTCAACGTAGGTGCCTGTGGACTTCCAGGAAGCCATCTCTGTGTCCATAACTGCCTGCCACTGAGAGGAGTAGGCACCCTCTATCGCCTCCGCGTAAGAGCGCGGAGTCGGGATGTCAAGTGCATCCGGGTCTCCCTCAGGGGTAAGCAGTACGGACACGAGATGAGGTGAAGCAGCAGCCAAACACTGGAACTCCTCCTGCCTGTCCTCAAGGACGTCCGTGCCAAGGGCACACTCACCCCCGACGGACGGAGGACAGACAGACTTAGACTCAGCGACAAGACAAGCAGCGTAGTCTAGACGACAGCGAGCAGCAAAGTCGACGAGCTCAGCAACTAGGGCAGACGCAGCAGTGGACGCAAAGGAAGGGTCAGTGACGACAGTAGCAAGGAGACGCGTGACAGTAGGACTGGCAGCACGAAGAGAGTCCGACTCTGGGTCGGGAAGAGCAGGAAGAGAGGACTCAGGAGGAGAAGGCAAAGGGGCACGCAGAGGAGCAGTGGACGGACGCAGAGACATCCGGTGCGTGCCAGGGACAGGAGGAGGACGCTGACGCGAACCACGACCACTAGCGCGAGCAGTACGGACAGGCGACGCAGGACGCGACGCAGGCTCACGACGCTCGGCAAGACCTCCAGTAGGACCAGTGTAGGGAGAAGGAGCGGGCAGTGGGGAGGCCGGCTGTAACTGTAACTGTGACAGGACAGGCTGTGGACACTCTAAGGGAGGAGGAGGACCAGTAGAAGGCGGGAGACCAAGAACCTGCTGAAGGAGCGGAACGAAGTACGGCCGAGGCCGCGCGGTGACTCCAGACACAGCAGGGACAGCACTAGTACCACCAGCGGCAGCACCACCGCCAGCAGCACCTCCAGCTCCAGTACCTCCAGCAGCACCAGGAGCACCCCCAGCAGGACCGCCTCCAGGACCAACAGCAGTAGCCTCAGCGTCAACACCCTCAGCAGCTCCAGCTCCAGGGTTTAGGCCAGCTCCCTCAGGCTCCGCACCCCCAGGCTCAGCACCTCCAGGCTCAGCACCCCCAGGCTCAGCACCCCCAGGCTCAGCACCCCCAGTAGTAGCACCTCCAGGCTCAGTACCCCCAGGCTCAGCACCCCCAGTAGTAGCACCCTCAGGCTCAGCACCCCCAGGTGTAGCACCCACACGCTCAGCACCCCCAGGCTCAGCACCCTCAGCAGCACCAGAGTCACCTGTAACCTCGACAGGCTCGACTGCGTCTACCTGGGACACACCTGAAGGGGCAGGACCCTGAGGGGGGAGGGGGTCTACCGGGGGGGGACCTGGCACAAGGAAGAGCGGTGGTGGGGGGAGGGACGGAGTGCGGTAGGGGAAGAGGCGGTAGTAGGGGACCGACTCGTCAAACGTGACGTCCTGGGAGGACAGAACACGGCGAGAGGTGGGGTGGTAGAACTGCCACCCTGGCGCGTCAGGGGGGAAGCCAAGGAAGACGCAAGGAGCAGCACGAGGGGACAGCTTGTCCGCAGACAAGTCGCGGACAAACGCCCGAGATCCCCAGACACGGAACGCAGACGCATCGTCAACCTTCCCCGTCCACAGCAAAGCTGGGGAGGTCTCCGGCCTGGAGACCCTAGGGTGAAGGTTGATCTGATGCGCCGCGTACCGAACCGCAAACGGCCACAGAAAATGGGGGGCAGCCGCATGCATCATGGACGTACGGGCGACGTCCATGACCATGCCAATGCGGCGCTCAGCAATCCCATTTTGCTGTGGAGAGTCCGGAAGCGTGAAGGTCTGGCGGATGCCTCGTGCACGACAGTAGGCTCGCAGAAGGCCAGAGGAGAACTCTCCACCTCTGTCAGAGTGCAGACGCAGAACAGGAAAGTCCGAGCCGAAGCTCTGCCTGAGCTGGAGACGAGCTGCGCGGATCCAGTCGATCAACACCTCAGTGACATCACCCTTGCTGCGCAAGGGGAAGACTGTGGTGTAACGCGAGTAGTCGTCAACCACCAGCAGGAAGTAGCGCTCGTGACCCTGTCCACGGACGCGGGCCGGGCCCCACACGTCCATGTGAAGCGTCTGCAGCGGGTTCTCTGTCGGAGGAAACTAGGAGGAGTGAGGGGCAGCCCGCTGCCGCCCCTCGACACAGGGGACGCAGGTAGGGCCAGGCCCCGGAGGAAGGGGAGGGAGGGACCGGGGAAGACCAGAGACAAGGACACGGGAGGCCATGCCTCGGAGACGAAGCAGGGAGGGGTGACCAAGGCGGTGGTGCCAGAGGAGAGTCTCGTGAGACAGAAGGCGACACGAACAGGGGGCAGACTCAGGACCAGACCTGGACGCTGCAGCAAACACCTGACCCGACGCAGCTACCTGACCAGACGCAGTGACTGGAGGAGACGCAGTGGTCAGTGTGTACAGGCTCGACCCCGGCCGACGTGTAAACGTGGCCAGGTGTCGACCAGTCCGAGCGTCCGTGCAGTGGGTCACCCGCTGACTCGCAGGAGTGAACTGGTGAACCCCCGCATCCTGTAGGTCAGCACCACTCACCAAGTTCGTAGAGAACGAGGGGAGGTAAAGACCAGACAGGGTGCCAGAGGGGGCCGCCGGACACGGGAGGACAGTGGAGAAGTGAGCAAGGACAGGACCCCCAGAGGGGTCTGCCAGAGAGACCGCAACTGGCCGGCCAAGCGGCGTGAGTGTGGTGCGGTCTCGAAAGAAGGAGCGAGAAGCCCCCGAGTCAAGGGTGAAGGTGTGGGAGGCCGAAGCCGACGCAGAACCTGAGAGAGCAGACTCACCAGCACCTGAGGGAGCAGACGCACCTAGAGCAGCAGCCTCGCTAGCACCTAGAGCAGCAGCCTCACCAGTACCTAGAGCAGCAGTCTCAATGCCCGGGTCGGGCAGAAAACACCGGTAACAGTCACCCTCATCACTAATAGTCACAGTATACATAGCAGCTAGAATAGCATCAAAGTCAAGGTCAAAGACAGCGACACCCGCCCTAGACAGCTCACCCCAGCGGGGGATCTCAGTGGCCTCAGGGAACTGGTGACGCCAAGCGTCCGTCAGGCGGCCAAAGCAGCGCTGGGTGGAGTGCGCACCCCCGCACTGGTCACCCGCGCGGTCGCCGGTGCGGAGGACGTAGGTGCACGGACCAGTACCCCCACCCCGCTGGCGTGCAGCGTACCACTCACGGAGCTGCTGAGGGGGGGGGATGTCACGAGTGCGCTGCTGCTGCTGCTGCTGCTGCTGGCGCTGACCACCACCAGAGCCGACCCTCTGCGCAGCGCCACCCCGACCAGCTCCACCTCCTCCGCCGCCGCCTCCTCCACCGCCGCTACCTCCGCTCCCACCGCCACCATCGCCGCCGCCTCCGCCTCCACCGCCGCCACCGGCACCTCCACCCCCACCACCACCCCCACCGCCACCCCCACCCCCTCCACTGCCTCCACCGCCGCCTCCACCGCCCCCGCTAGCTCCTCCAGTGCCCCTGCCCCCCTTGCCCTTGCCAGGGCGGCGTCTCCCGCTAGGGGTAGACGCCGCACCGACCGACTCAAGCCCAACGAGGTCGGCCGCAGCAGCAGAGGCAACAGAGGGCAAAAGGGGGGAGGGGGAACACCCCTCAAAGATGGGGGTGCGAGGGTCACCACGAGAGGCTCCTACAGCGACTATGCTCTTCTCTGCAACTAGGAGGGACTTCTCGAGGAGGTCAACGGTGAGAGTGGTGGGGCAAACTGAGAGGAAGTGGTCCCTGACTACGCGAAGGGAGTCAGGGAGCCGGGTGACTATGTAGTAGAGGGTGATGTACATGGGGGGGGGGGTTCTTGGCGCAGAACTCAGCAGGAAGCGCAGCGCGGTAGCGAGTGTCACTAGTGCGGAGGTGCGTAATGAGGTCAGCGACTGTGGGAAAGGCAGCAAGGTCAGGGAAGAGGTACGGTAGCATGAGGCGGCTCAGTGGAGCAGTGGCAGGGGAGGAGTAGCGCGCAACTACAGCGTCGTACAAGGTGTGAGCACTCTTGTACTGGCTAAAGTGCGCACGCTCAGAGGTAGGCAGGTGGCGACGCACAGCAAGACGTGCAGCGGCATCGCGCGTGGCCCACTGTGAGCGAACAGTGGCGTCAGCATCAGCAGCGGGGGCAGGGGAGGCACCAGAAGTGAGGTCAAAGAGGGAGAGGCCGTCTGCTCTGTCGCACTGTAAGAAAAGCTGCAGGTCATCTATCCAGATGTCAAAGTCAATGGCCCGACCCTCAGCGTCAAAAGCGAGGACACTAGGGGTAGCCATGACAGCAGTAGACTAGCAGCGCAAACAGTAGAGTGAGGGCAGTGCTGTGAAAGAGGCGCTGCTCTTACCGGACAGGGCGGCTTGGGTGGCTCGGCTGCAGGGCGGCTCGGCGGCTCGGCTGCTGGGCGGCTCGGCGGCTCGGCTGCAGGGCGGCTCGGCGGCTCGGCTGCTGGGCGGCTCGGCGGCTCGGCTGCTGGGCGGCTCGGCGGCTCGGCTGCTGGGCGGCTCGGCGGCTCGGCTTCTGGGCGACTCGGCTGCTGGGCGGCTCGGCGGCTGGGCGGCTCGGCTGCTTGGCGGCGCGGCGGGGCCGCTGAGAGGGCGGCGTCCGGGGCCGCTGGGAGGAGGCGGCGAGGCCACTGAGAGGAGGCAGCGGGGCCGCAGGTAGGTGGCGGGGCCGCTAGTAGGTGGCGGGGCCGCAGGTAGATGGCGGGGCCGCTGGTAGGTGGCGGGGCCGCAGGTAGGTGGCGGGGCCAGCACAGGAAGGTGGCGGGGCCGCGGGTAGGTGGCGGGGCCGCTGGTAGGTGGCCGGGCCGCAGAAAGGTGGCGGGGCCGCTAGTAGGTGGCGGGGCCGCAGGTAGGTGGCGGGGCCGCACAGGTAGGTGGCGGGGCCGCACAGGTAGGTGGCGGGGCCGCGAAGGGCGGCGACGAGCCGTAGGGGGCCGTGAGGGGCCGCGGGAGGGGCCGTAAGGGGCGTAAGGGGCCGCGCGAGGGGCCGTAAGGGACGGCGCGAGGGGCCGTAAGGGCGACGCGACGGGCGCGACGGGCCGTAGGGGGCGGCGCGACGAGCCGTGAGGGGGCCGCTAAGGGCGACGCGACGGGGCCGTGAAGGGCCTAGCGAGGGCGCGACGGTAGGGAGAGCACACAGGGCGCGACTCGGGCCGGAGCGAAGCGCGCTCCGGGCAGAAAAAAAAAATTCGTGGTGGTGGGCCCTAGGAATCGTTCCCACTAGGGAACCTGCTCGATACCATGAGAAGAAACGAGGAATGAGAATGACTAAGGGAAAGTTGGGTACAAAATGCAAACCCTAGAAAACTGTACCCCATATGTGCTACCCCACTATAGCCTACAGTAGCTCTGTCATATAAATCTGACATGGGGATCACGATCGAGCACAAGAACCCCCGACTGGTTTGAAATCTTCCACACATGCGTGCGGATTTTCAGCGTGCTGGGGCAAAACTGGTTCAGGACGTCCAAGATAGCCCGGCTCAAGCGATGTGGGTCGCGCATCTGTGCGCCTTTGCAGCCGTGAATGTTTTCCCAGGTGGGAAGGGGGTCTAGGGAGCACGATCGAGCGCAAGAACCCCCAACTGCTTCGCAATCTTCCACACATTCGCGCGGATTTTCAGCGTGCTGGGGCAAAACTGGCTTCGGACGTCCAGGATGGCCCGGATCAAGCGATGTCGGTCGCGCATCTGTGCGCCTTTGCGGCCGCGACTGTTTTGCCACGTGCGAGGGTGTCTGGGGATCATGATCGAGCACAAGAACCCTCAACGGCTTCGCAATCTTCCACACATACGCGCGGACTTTCAGCGTGCTGGGGCAAAACTAGCTTATGTCACCCGGGTTAGCCCGGCTCAAGCGATGTCGGTCGCGCATTTGTGCGCCTTCGCAGCCGCGACTGTTTTGCCACGTGGGAGGGGGCGATCGAGCGCAAGAACCCCCGACTACTTCGCAATTTTCCACACATGCGCGCGGATTGTCAGCGTGCTGGGGCAAAACCGCTTAGGACGCCCGAGATGGCCCGGCTCAAGCGATGTCGGTTGCGATCGAGCACAAGAACCCCCGACTGGTTCGCAATCTTCCACACATGCGCGTGGATTTTCAGCGCGCTGGGGCAAATCTGGTTCAGGACGTCCAGGATAGCCCGGCTCAAGCGATGTGGGTCGTGCATCTGTGCGCCTTTGCAGCCGCGAATATTTTCCCAGGTGGGATGGGGTATGGGGAGCATGATCCAGCGCAAGAACCCTCAACTGCTTCGCAATCTTCCACACATGCGCGCGGATTTTCAGCGTGCTGGGGCAAAACTGGCTAAGGACGTCCAGGATGGCCCGGCTCAAGCGATGTCGGTCGCGCATCTGTGCGCCTTTGCGGCCGCGACTGTTTTGCCACGTGGGAAGGGGGTCTGGGGAGCACGATCGAGCGCAAGAACCCCCAACTGCTTCGCAATCTTCCACACATTCGCACGGATTTTCAGCGTGCTGGGGCAAAACTGGCTTCGGACGTCCAGGATGGCCCGGATCAAGCGATGTCGGTCGCGCATCTGTGCGCCTTTGCGGCCACGACTGCTTTGCCACGTGCGAGGGTGTCTGGGGATCATGATCGAGCACAAGAACCCTCAACGGCTTCGCAATCTTCCACACATACGCGCGGACTTTCAGCGTGCTGGGGCAAAACTAGCTTATGTCACCCGGGTTAGCCCGGCTCAAGCGATGTCGGTCGCGCATTTGTGCGCCTTCGCAGCCGCGACTGTTTTGCCACGTGGGAGGGGGTCTGGGGAGCACGATCGAGCGCAAGAACCCCCGACTACTTCGCAATTTTCCAAACATGCGCGCGGATTGTCAGCGTGCTGGGGCAAAACCGCTTAGGACGCCCGGGATGGCCCGGCTCAAGCGATGTCGGTCGCGATCGAGCACAAGAACCCCCGACTGGTTCGCAATCTTCCACACATGCGCGTGGATTTTCAGCGCGCTGGGGCAAATCTGGTTCAGGACGTCCAGGATAGCCCGGCTCAAGCGATGTGGGTCGTGCATCTGTGCGCCTTTGCAGCCGCGAATATTTTCCCAGGTGGGAGGGGGTATGGGGAGCATGATCCAGCGCAAGAACCCTCAACTGCTTCTCAATCTTCCACACATGCGTGCGGATTTTCAGCGTGCTGGGGCAAAACTGGCTTAGGACGTCCAGGATGGCCCGGCTCAAGCGATGTCGGTCGCGCATCTGTGCGCCTTCGCAGCCGAGACTGTTTTGCCATGTGGAATGGGGTCTGGGGAGCACGATCGAGCGCAAGAACCCCCAACTGCTTCGCAATCTTCCACACATGCGCGCGGATTTTCAGCGTGCTGGGGCAAAACTGGTTCAGGACGTCCAGGATAGCCCGGCTCAAGCGATGTGGGTCGTGCATCTGTGCGCCTTAGCAGCTGCGAATGTTTTCCCAGGTGGGAGGAGGTATGGGGAGCATGATCCAGCGCAAGAACCCCCAACTGCTTCTCAATCTTCCACACATGCGCGCGGATTTTCAGCGTGCTGGGGCAAAACTGGCTTAGGACGTCCAGGATGGCCCGGCTCAAGCGATGTCGGTCGTGCATCTGTGCACCTTTTCAGCCGCGACTGTCTTGCCACGTGGGAGGGGATCTGGGGAGCACGATCGAGCGCAAGAACCCCCAACTGCTTCGCAATCTTCCACACATGCGCGCCGATTTTCAGCGTGCTGGGGCAAAACTAGTTCAGGACGTCCAGGATAGCCCGGCTCAAGTGATTTGGGTCGCGCATCTGTGCGCCTTTGCAGCCGCGAATGCTTTCCCAGGTGGGAGGGGGTTTGGGGATCAGGATCGAGCACAAGAACCCCCGACGGCTTCGCAATCTTCCACAAATGCGCGCGGATTTTCAGCGTGCTGGGGCAAAACTAGCTTAGGTCGCCCGGGTTGGCCCGGCTCAAGCGATGTCGGTCGCGCATCTGTGCGCCTTTGCAGCCGCGACTGTTTTGCCACGTTGGAGGGGTTCTGAAGAGCACGATCGAGCGCAAGAACCCCCGACTGCTTCGCAATTTTCCACACATGCGCGCGGATTGTCAGCGTGCTGGGGCAAAACCGCTTAGGACGCCCGGGATGGCCCGGCTCAAGCGATGACGGTCGCGCATCTGTACGCCTTTGCAGCCAGGACTGTTTTTCCAGGTGGGAGGGGGTATGGGGAGCACGATCGAGTGCAAGAACCCCTGACTGCTTCGCAATCTTCCACACATGCGCGCCGATTTTCAGCATGCTTGGGCAAAACTGGCTCGGGACGTCAGGATGGCCAGGCTCAAGCGATGTCGGTCGCGCACCTGTATTTGTTTACAGCCGTAACTGTTTTGCTAGGTGGAAGGGGGTATGGGGATCACGATCGAGCACAAGAACCCCCGACTGGTTCGCAATCTTCCACACATGCGCGCGGATTTTCAGCGCGCTGGGGCAAAACTGGTTCAGGACGTCCAGGATAGCCCGGCTCAAGCGATGTGGGTCGTGCATCTGTGCGCCTTTGCAGCCGCGACTGTTTTCCCAGGTGGGAGGGGGTATGGGGAGCATGATCCAGCGTAAGACCCCCAACTGCTTCTCAATCTTCCACACATGCGCGCGGATTTTCAGGGTGCTGGGGCAAAACTGGCTTAGGACGTCCAGGATGGCCCGGCTCGAGCGATGTCGGTCGCGCATCTGTGTGCCTTTGCAGCCGCGACTCTTTTGACACGTGGGAGGGGGTCTGGGGATCAGGATCGAGCAGAAGAACCCCCAACTGCTTAGCAATCTTCCACACATGCGCGCGGATTTTCAGCGTGCTGCGGCAAAACTGGCTTAGGACGTCCAGGATGGCCCGGCTCGAGCGATGTCGGTTGCGCATCTGTGCGCCTTTGCAGCCGCGACTGTTTTGCCACGTGGGAAGGGGTCTGGGGATCACGATCGAGCAGAAGAACCCCCGACGGCTTCGCAATCTTCCACACATGCGCGCAGATTTTCAGCGTGCTGTGGCAAAACTAGCTTAGGTCGCGCGGGTTGGCTCGGCTCAAGCGATGTCGGTCGCGCATCTGTGCGCCTTTGCAGCCGCGACTGTTTTGCCACGTGGGAGGGGGTCTGGGGAGCACGATCGAGCGTAAGAACCCCCGACTGCTTCGCAATCTTCCACACATGCGCGCGGATTTTCAGCGTGCTGGGGCAAAACCGGCTTACCGCGCGGGATGGCCCGGCTCAAGCGATGTCGGTCGCGCATCTGTGCGCCTTTGCAGCCAGGACTGTTTTGCCAGGTGGGAGGGGGTATGGGGAGCACGATTGAGTGCAAGAACCCCTGACTGCTTCGCAATCTTCCACACATACGCGCCGATTTTCAGCATGCTTGGGCAAAACTGGCTCGGGACGTCCAGGATGGCCAGGCTCAAGCGATGTCGGTCGCGCACCTGTGCGTGTTTACAGCCGTGACTGTTGCTAGGTGGAAGGGGGTATGGGGATCATGATCGAGCACAAGAACCCCCGACTAGTTGTTAAAAAACGAGGAATGAATTGACTAAGGGAAAGTGGGTACAAAAGCAAACCCTAGAAAACTGTACCCCATATGTGCTACCCCACTATAGCCTACAGTAGCTATGTCATATAAATCTGACACACCCCCATAGGCAAAGTGGGGGAGAACAAGGGGTCACAAGACCAGTCAAGCAAAGCAAAGCAAGCTCAGGGTGGATCACAAAGTCACCACACATTCCGAGCACAAGTTCAAGGCCATAAGGCCAGTTCACATGCAGGATTGCATATATATATAAGGCTAGACAAGCAAGAGCAGGTGTATATATATATGCAACAGTACAAACAAGGTCAAGGGGTGAGCAAGTGAGGCAAGGTAGGCACAAGACCCAGCTGAGTACAGAAGCGCTGATGATCACAAGGCGGGAGTGCCTTGGTGAAGATATCAGCAGTGTTGGCCTGAGAGGCCACGTACGCAAGCCGCAGCTGACCACGCTGCTGTAGCTCACGAGCAAGGAAGTAGCGGAGAGCAATGTGCTTCGTTCTGTGCTCCAGTCTCTGCTCTCGACACAAGGCCAGCATGGCCTTGTTGTCTACGTACAGCACTGGAGGAGAACGAGGCGGCTCTCCGAGGTCAGTCAGCAGGTAGGTGAGCCAGCGAAGCTCCTGTGCAGCCATGGCACCGGCGTAGATCTTAGCCTCACAACTGGAGCCGAGAACAGAAGACGAGCGGGTAGCCCGCCACGAAACAGAGCCGGAACCAAGGCTGAAGGTGTAACCCTGTGACGACCGCTGCGTAGCCTGGTCGTCAGCCCAAGAAGCGTCTGCGTGCCCAGTGAGGACCACTGGACTCTGCCCTCCAAGCACAAGCCCCATGCCCGACGTACTGCACAAGTAGCGCAACACCCTCTTCGCTGCAGCCATGTGCTCCGGTCTGTGTCTCCCAGGAGCAACATAGCGTGCAAGAATGCTAAGAGGGTATGCAAGGTCAGGTCGTGTGCAGGTCATCAGGTACATGAGGCAGCCAACAAGCTCTGGGTACGGGCCACTCGACTCTACGGACTCATCCGAAGGCAGAGCTGAGAGCGAGTGGCGAGTAGGCAGAGGAGTGGCCTGAGGCGAGGAGTACGTGAAGCCGAAGCGCTGAAGGACCTGCTGCACCATGTGTGACTGAGTCAGGGTAATGGTGCGGCGTGCTCTGTCCCGGGTGATCTGCAAGCCAAGGTAGCTGCGCAGTTCACCCAGGTCTGTGCACGTGTGTCTCTTCTGCAGCTCGGACTTCACGTGGGCGAGTCCAGCAGTGTCAGCTGTGGCGAAGACCAAGTCGTCGACGTACACGAGGATGTAGAACGGCGGCAAAGAAGTGTCGGTGCGCAGAAACAGCGATGGGTCGGCAGTAGAGGGAGCAAACCCAAGAGCCACAAGTGTAGTCCTCAGTGTGTCGTGCCACTCACGCGGTGCCTGGCGGAGACCGTAGACTGGCCGCCGGAGGCTCCACTGGGTGCCAGGAGGAAAGGACCCAGTGAAGCCAGGTGGGCGACGCAGCCAGATCTCCTCGTGCAGGCTGCCCTGCAAGAAAGCAGTGCTGAAGTCAAGAGAGTGCAGCTCGTAGTCGCGGTGAGCAGCTATGTGCAGCAGTACCCGAAGAGTGGTCATCTTCGGGGTGGGAGAGAAGGTCTGAAAGTAGTCAACTCCCTGCCGCTGACTGAAGCCACGAGCCACGTAACGCGCCTTGAAGACAGGCGGAGAACCCGGCGGCCGCTTCACCCTGAAAATCCACATGCCACTGACGATGTTCGCCCCAGGCGGGGGAACCTCGTCAACGTAGGTGCCTGTGGACTTCCAGGAAGCCATCTCTGCGTCCATAGCTGCCTGCCACTGAGAGGAGTAGGGACCCTCTATCGCCTCCGCGTAAGAGCGCGGAGTCGGGATGTCAAGTGCATCCGGGTCTCCCTCAGGGGTAAGCAGTACGGACACGAGATGAGGTGAAGCAGCAGCCAAACACTGGAACTCCTCCTGCCTGTCCTCAAGGACGTCCGTGCCAAGGGCACACTCACCCCCGACGGACGGAGGACAGACAGACTCAGACTCAGCAACAAGACTAGCAGCGTAGTCTAGACGACAGCGAGCAGCAAAGTCGACGAGCTCAGTAACTAGTGCAGACGCAGCAGTGGACTCAAAGGAAGGGTCAGTGACAATAGTAGCAAGGAGACGCGTGACAGTAGGACTGGCAGCACGAAGAGAGTCCGACTCCGGGTCAGGAAGAGCAGGAAGAGAGGACTCAGGAGGAGAAGGCAAAGGGGCACGCAGAGGAGCAGTGGACGGACGCAGAGACATCCGGTGCATGCCAGGGACAGGAGGAGGACGCTGACGCGAACCACGACCACTAGTGCGAGCAGCACGGACAGGCGACGCAGGGCGAGACGCAGGCTCATGGCGCTCAGCAAGGCCTCCAGTAGGACCAGTGTAGGGAGAAGGAGCGGGCAGTGGGGAGGCCGGCTGTAACTGTAACTGTGACGGGACAGGCTGTGGACACTCTAAGGGAGGAGGAGGACCAGTAGAAGGCGGGAGACCAAGAACCTGCTGAAGGAGTAGAACGAAGTACGGCCGAGGCCGCGCGGCGACTCCAGACACAGCAGGGACAGCACCAGTACCCCCAGCGGCAGCACCAGCGCCAGCAGCACCTCCAGCTCCAGTACCTCCAGCAGCACCAGTAGCACCCCCAGCAGGACCGCCTCCAGGACCGACAGCAGCAGCCTCAGCGCCAACACCCTCAGCAGCTCCAGCTCCAGTCGTACCCGCAGGCCCAGCAGCTCCAGTACTCCCAGTACGAGCAGCTCCGGGACCCGCGGCACCAGTACCCTCAGCAGCCGAAGAACCTCCAGCTCCAGCAGCATGCCTCCAGCGCCGGGCAAACCACTCGCGCAGCTCCTGTGGATAGAGTGGCTCCCGCCGAGACGAAGCACCCGGAGAACCTCCAGGCTCAGCACCGCCAGACGCCACACGAGCAGGCCCAGCTCCCTCAGGCTCCGCACCCCCAGGCTCAGCACCTCGAGGCGTAGCACCCCAAGGCTCAGCACCCCCAGGCGTAGCACCCCCAGGCTCAGCACCCCCAGGCTCAGCACCCCCAGTAGTAGCACCCCCAGGCTCAGCACCCCCAGGCTCAGGACCCCCAGTAGTAGCACCCTCAGGCTCAGCACCCCCAGGCGTAGCACCCACACGCTCAGCACCCCCAGAGTCAGCACCCCCAGGCTCAGCACCCTCAGCAGCACCAGAGTCACCAGTAACCTCGACAGGCTCGACTGCGTCTACCTGGGACACACATGAAGGGGCAGGACCCTGAGGGGGGAGGGGGTCTACCGGGGGGGGACCTGGCACAAGGAAGAGCGGTGGCGGGGGGAGGGACGGAGTGCGGTAGGGGAAGAGGCGGTAGTAGGGGACCGACTCGTCAAACGTGACGTCCTGGGAGGACAGACCACGGCGAGAGGTGGGGTGGTAGAACTGCCACCCTGGCGCGTCAGGGGGGAAGCCAAGGAAGACGCAAGGAGCAGCACGAGGGGACAGCTTGTCCGCAGACAAGTCGCGGACAAACGCCCGAGATCCCCAGACACGGAACGCAGACGCATCGCCAACCTTCCCCGTCCACAGCAAAGCTGGAGAGGTCTCCGGCATGGAGACCCTGGGGTGAAGGTTGATCTGATGCGCCGCGTACCGAACCGCAAACGGCCACAGAAAATGGGGGGCAGCCGCATGCATCATGGACGTACGGGCGACGTCCATGACCATGCCAATGCGGCGCTCAGCAATCCCATTTTGCTGTGGAGAGTCCGGAAGCGTGAAGGTCTGGCGGATGCCTCGTGCACGACAGTAGGCTCGCAGAAGGCCAGAGGAGAACTCTCCACCTCTGTCAGAGTGCAGACGCAGAACAGGAAAGTCCGAGCCGAAGCTCTGCCTGAGCTGGAGACGAGCTGGGCGGATCCAGTCGATCAACACCTCAGTGACATCACCCTTGCTGCGCAAGGGGAAGACTGTGGTGTAACGCGAGTAGTCGTCAACCACCAGCAGGAAGTAGCGCTCGTGACCCTGTCCAAGGACGCGGGCCGGGCCCCACACGTCCATGTGAAGCGTCTGCAGCGGGGCCTCTATCGGAGAAAACTGGGAGGAGTGAGGGGCAGCCCGCTGCCGCCCCTCGACACAGGGGACGCAGGTAGGGCCAGGCCCCGGAGGAAGGGGAGGGAGGAACCGGGGAAGACCAGAGACAAGGACACGGGAGGCCATGCCTTGGAGACGAAGCAGGGAGGGGTGACCAAGGCGGTGGTGCCAGAGGAGAGTCTCGTGAGACAGAAGGCGACACGAACAGGGGGCAGACTCAGGACCAGACCTGGACGCTGCAGCAAACACCTGACCCGACGCAGCTACCTGACCAGACGCAGTGACTGGAGGAGACGCAGTGGTCAGTGTGTACAGGCTCGACCCCGGCCGACGTGTAAACGTGGCCAGGTGTCGGCCTGTCCGAGCGTCCGTGCAGTGGGTCACCCGCTGACTCGCAGGAGTGAACTGGTGAACCCCCGCATCCTGTAGGTCAGCACCACTCACCAAGTTCGTAGAGAACGAGGGGAGGTAAAGACCAGACAGGGTGCCAGAGGGGGCCGCCGGACACGGGAGGACAGTGGAGAAGTGAGCAAGGACAGGACCCCCAGAGGGGTCTGCCAGAGAGACTGCAACTGGCCGGCCAAGCGGCGTGAGTGTGGTGCGGTCTCGAAAGAAGGAGCGAGAAGCCCCCGAGTCAAGGGTGAAGGTGTGGGAGGCCGAAGCCGACGCAGTACCTGAGAGAGCAGACTCACCAGCACCTGAGGGAGCAGACGCACGAGCACCTAGAGCAGCAGCCTCACTAGCACCTAGAGCAGCAGCCTCACCAGTACCTAGAGCAGCAGTCTCAATGCCCGGGTCGGGCGGAAAACACCGGTAACAGTCACCCTCATCACTAATAGTCACAGCATACATGGCAGCAAGAATAGCATCAAAGTCAAGGTCAAAGACAGCTACACCCGCCCTAGACAGCTCGCCCCAGCGAGGGATCTCAGTGGCCTCAGGGAACTGGTGACACCAAGCGTCCGTTAGGCGGCCAAAGCAGCGCTGGGTGGAGTGCGTACCCCCGCACTGCTCACCCGCGCGGTCGCCGGTGCGTAGGACGTAGGTGCACGGACCAGTACCCCCACCCCGCTGGCGTGCAGCGTACCACTCACGGAGCTGCTGAGGGGGGGGGATGTCACGAGTGCGCTGCTGCCGCTGCTGCTGCTGCTGCTGGCGCTGACCACCACCGGAGCCGACCCTCTGTGCAGCGCCACCCCGACCAGCTCCACCTCCTCCGCCGCCGCCTCCTCCACCGCCGCCACCTCCGCCACCTCCGCTCCCACCGCCACCGCCGCCGCCGCCTCCGCCTCCACTGCCGCCACCGACACCTCCACCCCCGCCACCACTCCCACCACCACCCCCACCCCCTCCACTGCCGCCACCGCCACCTCCGCCACCCCCGCCAGCCCCTCCAGCACCCTTGCCCCCCTTGCCCTTGCCGGTGCGGCGTTTCCCGCTCGGGGCAGACGCAGCGCTGACCGACTCGAAACCAACGAGGTCGGCCGCAGCAGCAGAGGCAACAGAGGGCAAAAGGGGGGAGGGGGAACACCCCTCAAAGACGGGGGTGCGAGGGTCACCACGAGAGGCTCCTACAACGACTATGCTCTTCTCTGCTGCTAGGAGGGCCTTCTCGAGGAGGTCAACGGTGAGAGTGGTGGGGAAAACTGAGAGGAAGTGGTCCCTGACTACGCGAAGGGAGTCAGGGAGCCGGGTGACTATGTAGTAGAGGGTGATGTACATGGGGGGGGGGTTCTTGGCGCAGAACTCAGCAGGAAGCGCAGCGCGGTAGCGAGTGTCACTAGTGCGGAGGTGCGTAATGAGGTCAGCGACTGTGGGAAAGGCAGCAAGGTCAGGGAAGAGGTACGGTAGCATGAGGCGGCTCAGTGCAGCAGTGGCAGGGGAGGAATAGCGCGCAACTACAGCGTCGTACAAGGTGTGAGCACTCTTGTACTGGCTAAAGTGCGCACGCTCAGAGGTAGGCAAGTGGCGACGCACAGCAAGACGTGCAGCAGCATCGCGTGTGGCCCACTGTGAGCGAACAGTGGCGTCAGCATCAGCAGCGGGGGCAGGGGAGGCACCAGAAGTGAGATCAAAGAGGGAGAGAGCGTCTGCCCTATCGCACTGTAGGAAAAGCTGCAGGTCATCTACCCAGACGTCAAAGTCAATGGCCCGACCCTCAGCGTCAAAAGCGAGGACACTGGGGGTAGCCATGACAGCAGTAGACTAGCAGCACGAGCAGTAGGCTAAGGGCAGCGCAGTAGTAGAGGTGCTGCTCTTACCGGGCAGGCGAGACGGACCGAGTGTAGAGGACAGGGCGGCTCGGACGGCTCGGCGGCTCGGCAGCACCAGCAGGTCGGCAGCTCAGCGACTCGGCGGCTCGGGTGGCTCGGCGGCTCGGGCGACTCGGGCGGCTCGGGCGGCTCGGCGGCTCGGGCGGTTCGGTGGCTCGGGCGGCGCGGGCGGCTCGGGCGGTTCGGCGGCTCGGGCGGCTCGGCTGCTGCAGGGGCAGCGGCGGCTGTTGCTCACAGGACGGCGGCGGCCGCTGCTGCAGCGGCGGCGGCAGTTGCTGCTGCAGGGCCGGCGGCGGCCGCTCCTGTAGGGACGGCGGCGGCCGCGGTTGCAGTGGCGGCGGGTGCTGCTGCAGGGGCGGCGGATGCTGCTGCTGCTGGGACTGCGGCCGCGGTCGCTGTAGCGACTGCAGCTGCTGCTGCTGTAGAGGCGGCGACGGCGGGCCGAGAGAGGCCGCGAAGGGCGGCGGACGGGCCGTGAAGGGCGGCACGAGGGGCCGCAGAGGGCGGCGACCGGCCGTGAAGGGGCCGGGAGTGGCCGCGGAGGGCGGCGACGGGCCGTGAAGGGCGGCTCGAGGGGCCGCGGAGGGCGGCGACCGGCCGTGAAGGGGCCGCGAGTGGCCGCGGAGGGCGGCGACCGGCCGCGAAGGGGCCGCGAGTGGCCGCGGAGGGCGGCGACGGGCCGTGAAGGGCGACGCGAGGGGCCGCGAAGGGCGGCTACGGGCCGTAGGGGGCCGTAAGGGCGGCGCGAGGGGCCGGAAGGGCGGCGCGAGGGGCCGTAATGGCGGCACGAGGGGCCGTCAGAGGGGCCGCTAAGGGCGACGCGAAGGGGCCGTACGGGGCCTAGAGAGGGCGCGACGGTAGGGAGGGCACGCGGGGCGCGACTCGGGCAGGAGCGAAGCGCGCTCCGGGCAGGAAAAAAATTTCGATTGGTGGGCCCTAGGAAGCGTTCCCACGAGGGAACCCGCTCTATACCATGTTAAATAACGAGGAATGAATTGACTAAGGGAAAGTGGGTACAAAAGCAAACCCTAGAAAACTGTACCCCATATGTGCTACCCCACTATAGCCTACAGTAGCTATGTCATATAAATCTGACACTAGTTCGCAATCTTCAACACATGCGCGCGGATTTTCAGCGCGCTGGGGCAAAACTGGTTCAGGACGTCCAGGGTGGCCCAGCTCAAGCGATGTCGGTCGCGCATCTGTGCGCCTTTGCAGCTGCGACTATTTTGCCACGTAGGAAGGGGGTCTGGGGAGCACGATCGAGCACAAGAACCCCCAACTGCTTCGCAATCTTCCACACATGCGCGCGGATTTTCAGCGTGCTGGGGCAAAACTGGCTTAGGTCGCCCGGGTTGGCCCGGCTCAAGCGATGTCGGTCGCGCATCTGTGCGCCTTTGCAGGCGCGACTGTTTTGCCACGTGGGAGGGATTCTGGGGAGCACGATCGAGCGCAAGAACCCCCGACTGCTTCGCAATTTTCCACACATGCGCGCGGATTGTCAACGTGCTGGGGCAAAACCGCTTAGGACGCCCGGGATGGCCCGGCTCAAACGATGTGGGTCGCGCATCTGTGCGCCTTTGCAGCTGCGTATGTTTTCCCAGGTGGGAGGGGGTATGGGGAGCATGATCCAACGCAAGAACCCCCAGCTGCTTCTCAATCTTCCACACATGCGCGCGGATTTTCAGCGTGCTGGGGCAAAACTAGCTTAGGACGTCCAGGATGGCCAAGCTCAAGCGATGTTGGTCGCGCATCTGTGCGCCTTTGGAGCCGCGAATATTTTGCCACGTGGGAAGGGGGTCTGGGGAGCACGATCGAGCGCAAGAAACCCCGACTGCTTCGCAATCTTCCACACATGCGCGCGGATTTTCAGTGTGCTAGGGCGAAACTGGCTTAGGACGTCCACGATGGCCCAGCTCAAGCGATGTCGGTCGCGCATCTGTGCGCCTTTGCAGCCGCGACTATTTCGCCACGTGGGAGGGGGTCTAGGGATCACGATCGAGCAGAAGAACCCCCGACGGCTTCGCAATTTTCCACACATGCGCGCAGATTTTCAGCGTGCAGGGGCAAAACTAGCTTAGGTCACCCGGGTTGGCCCAGCTCAAGCGATGTCGATCGCGCATCTGTGCGCCTTTGCAGCCGCGACTGTTTTGCCACGTTGGAGGGGGTCTGGGGAGCACGATCGAGCGCAAGAACCCCCGACTGCTTCGCAATCTTCCACACATGCGCGCGGATTTTCAGCGTGCTGGGGCAAAACCGGCTTACCGCCCGGGATGGCACGGCTGAAGCGATGTCGGTCGCGCATCTGTGCGCCTTTACAACCAGGACTGTTTTGCCAGGTGGGAGGGGGTATGGGGATCACGATCGAGCACAAGAATCTCCGACTAGCTCGCAATCTTCAACACATGCGCGCCAATTTTCAGCGCTCTGGGGCAAAACTGGTTCAGGACGTCCAGGATGGCTTGGCTCAAGCGATGTCGGTCGCGCATCTGTGCGCCTTTGCAGCCGCGACTGTTTTGCCATGTGGGAAGGGGGTCTGGGGAGCACGATCGAGCGCAAGAACCCCCAACTGCTTCGCAATCTTCCACACATGCGCGCGGATTTTCAACGTGCTGGGGCAAAACTGGCTTAGGACGTCCAGGATGGCCCGGCTCAAGCGATGTCGGTCGCGCATCTTTGCACCTTTGGAGCCGCGACTGTTTTGCCACGTGGGAGGGGGTCAGGGGATCACGATCAAGCACAAGAACCCCCGACGGCTTCGCAATCTTCCACACATGCGCGCGGATTTTCAGCGTGCTGGGGCAAAACTAGCTTAGGTCGCCCGGGTTGGCCCGGCTCAAGCGATGTGGGTCGTGCATCTGTGCGCATTTGCAGCCGCGACTGTTTTGCCACGTGGGAGGGGGTCTGGGGAGCAAGATCGAGAGCAAGAACCCCCGACTGCTTCGCAATTTTCCACACATGCGCGCGGATTGTCAGCGTGCTAGGGCAAAACCGCTTAGGACGCCCGGGATGGCCCGGCTCAAGCGATGTCGGTCGCCCATCTCTGCGCCTTTGCAGCCAGGGCTCTTTAGCCACGTGGGAAGGGGGTCTGGGGAGCACGATCGAGCGCAAGAGCCCCCAACTGCTTCGCAATCTTCCACACATGCGCGTGGATTTTCAGCGTGCTGGGGCAAAACTGGCTTAGGACGTCCAGGATGGCCCGGCTCGAGCGATGTCGGTCGTGCATCTGTGCGCCTTTGCAGCCGCGACTATTTTGCCACGTGGGAGGGGGTCTGGGGATCACGATCGAGCAGAAGAACCCCCGACGGCTTCGCAATCTTCCACACATGCGCGCAGATTTTCAGCGCGCTGGGGCAAAACCGGCTTACCGCCCGGGATGGCCCGGGTCAAGCGATGTCGGTCGCGCATCTGTGCGCCTTTGCAGCCAGGACTGTTTTGCCAGGCGGGAGGGGGTATGGGGAGCATGATCGAGTGCAAGAACCGCTGACTGCTTCGCAATCTTCCACACATGCGCGCCGATTTTCAGCATGCTTGGGCAAAACTGGCTCGGGACGTCCAGGATGGCCAGGCTCAAGCGATGTCGGTCGCGCACCTATGCGTGTTTACAGCCGTGATTGTTGCTAGGTGGAAGGGGGTATGGGGATCACGATCGAGCATAAGAATCCCCGACTAGTTCGCAATCTTCAACACATGCGCGCGGATTTTCAGCGTGCTGGGGCAAAACTGGTTCAGGACGTCCAGGATGGCCCGGCTCAAGCGATGTCGGTTGCGCATCTGTGCGCCTTTGCAGCCGCGACTGTTTTGCCACGTGGGAGGGGGTCTGGGGATCACGATCGAGCAGAAGAACCCCCGACGGCTTCGCAATCTTCCACACATGCGCGCGGATTTTCAGCGTGCTGGGGCAAAACTAGCTTAGGTCGCCCGGGTTGGCCCGGCTCAAGCGATGTCGGTCGCGCATCTGTGCGCCTTTGCAGCCGCGACTGTTTTGCCACGTGGGAGGGGCTCTGGGGAGCACGATCGAGCGCAAGAACCCCCGACCACTTCGCAATTTTCCACACATGCGCGCGGATTGTCAGCGTGTTGGGGCAAAGCCGCTTTGGACGCCCGGGATGGCCCGGCTCAAGCGATGTCGGTCGCGCATCTGTGCGCCTTTGCAGCCAGGACTGTTTTGCCAGGTGGGAGGGGGTATGGGGAGCACGATCAAGTGCAAGAACCCCTGACTGCTTCGCAATCTTCCACAGATGTGCGCCGATTTTCAGCATGCTTGGGCAAAACTGTCTCGGAACGTCCAGGATGGCCAGGCTCAAGCGATGTCATCCGCGCACTTGTGGGTGTTTACAGCCGTAACTGTATTGCTAGGTGGAAGGGGGTATGGGGATCACGATCGAGCACAAGAACCCCCCACTGGTTCGCAATCTTCCACACATGCGCGCGAATTTTCAGCGCTGTGGGGCAAAACTGGTTCAAGACGTCCAGGATAGCCTGGCTCAAGCGATGTGGGTCGTGCATCTGTGCGCCTTTGCGGCCACGAATGTTTTCCCATGTGGGAATGGGTATGGGGAGCATGATCCAGCGCAAGAACCCCCAACTGCTTCTCAATCTTCCACACATGCGCACCGATTTTCAGCGTGCTGGGGCAAAACTGGCTTAGGACGTCCAGGATGGCCCGGGTCAAGCGATGTCGGTCGCGCATCTGTGTGCCTTTCCAGCCGCGACTGCTTTGCCACGTGGGAAGGGGGTGTGGGGAGCACGATCGAGCGCAAGAACCCCCAACTGCTTCTCAATCTTCCACACATGCGCGCGGATTTTCAGCGTGCTGGGGCAAAACTGGTTCACGACGTCCAGGATAGCCCGGCTCAAGCGATGTGGGTCGTGCATCTGTGCGCCTTTGCAGCCGCGAATGTTTTCCCAGGTGGGAGGGGATATGGGGAGCATGATCCAGCGCAAGAACCCCCAAATGCTTCTCAATCTTCCACACATGCGCGCGGATTTTCAGCGTGCTGGGGCAAAACTGGCTTAGGACGTCCAGGATGGCCCGGCTCAAGCAATGTCGGTCGCGCATCTGTGCGCCTTTGGAGCCGCGACTGTTTGCCATGTAGGAGGGGGTCTGGGTAGCACGATCGAGCGCAAGAACCCCCAAGTGCTTCGCAATCTTCCACACATGCGCGCGGATTTTGAGCGTGCTGGGGCAAAACTGGCTTAGGACGTCCAGGATGGCCCGGCTCAAGCGATGTCGGTCACGCATCTGTGCGCCTTTGCAGCCGCGACTGCTTTGTCACGTGGGAGGGGGTATGAGGAGCACGATCGAGCAGAAGAACCCCCAACTGCTTCGCATTTTTTCACACATGCGCGCGGATTTTCAGCGTGCTCGGGCAAAATTGGCTTAGGACGTCCAGGATGGCCCGGCTCAAGCGATGTCCGTAGCGCATCTGTGCGACTTTGCAGCCGCGTCTGTTTTGTGACGTGGGAGGGGGTCTGGGGATCACGATAGAGCAGAAGAACCCCCGAGGGCTTCGCAATCTTCCACACATGCGCGCGGATTTTCAGCGTGCTGGGGCAAAACTAGCTTAGGTCGCCCGGGTTGGCCCGGCTCAAGCGATGTCGGTCGCGCATCTGTGCGCCTTTGCAGCCGCGCCTGTTTTGCCATTTGGGAGGGGGTCTGGGGAGCACGATCGAGCGCAAGAAACCCCGACTGCTTCGCAATCTTCCACACATGCGCGGGGATTTTCAGTGTGCTGGGGCAAAACCAACTTAGGACGCCCGAGATGGCCCGGCTCAAAGGATGTCGGTCGCGCATCTGTGCGCCTTTGCAGCCAGGACTGTTTTGCCAGGTGGGAGGGGGCATGGGGAGCACGATCGAGTGCAAGAACCCCTGACTGCTTCGCAATCTTCCACACATGCACGCTGATTTTCAGCATGCTTGGCCGAAATTGGCTCGGGACATCCAGGATGGCCATGCTCAAGCGATGTTGTTTTACAGCAGTAACTGTTTTGCTAGGTGAAAGGGGGTATGGGGATCACGATCGAGCATAAGAATCCCCGACTAGTTCGCAATTTTCCACACATGCGCGCGGATTTTCAGCGCGCTGGGGCTAATCTGGTTCAGGACGTCCAGGATAGCCCGGCTCAAGCGATGTGGGTCGCGCATCTGTGCGCCTTTGCAGCCGCGAATGTCCATGCATCGGGTGGGAGGGGGTATGGGGAGCATGATCCAGCGCAAGAACCCCCAACTGCTTCTCAATATTCCACACATGCTCGCGGATTTTCAGCGTGCTGGGGCAAAACTGGCTTAGGACGTCCAGGATGGCCTGGCTCAAGCGATGTCGATCGCGCATCTGTGCGCTTTTGCAGCCGCGACTGTCTTGCCACGTAGGAGGGGGTCTGGGG